AGGGACAGCACTTCTTGCAGCAGAGCAAGCAGGACTTGGTCCATCCTCACTCCTCGGACAGCGCAAGCAGCTCAGGGGGAGCCCCAGGTACCTTGTAGACTGAGGTGCCCCCGACAATCCAAACCATGTCCACTCTGCTCCTCAGCTCTGGTGTGTCTAGGAGGGCTAAGGCATCGTCCAGGCTCTTGGAAAGGTAGTGTGCCCCTCTGGGAGCTTCCCTAGGGAAAAGGAATGCCTTACTCCGAAATAATAAAGTATCAGAGGCTTATATTAACCTGTTAGAGGCCTGTGAATCCTATGGGTTTTGTCATAATGAATGAATGACAATAAATCATAAATAAATGATAGAAACCCTATAATTAACCCATTAGCCTATAGAATAGTTTATATTAATCTACAGAATAGTTTATATTGACCTATAGAACCGGCTTATATTGACCTACAGAATAGGTTTAGATTAACCTATAGAATAGTTTATATTAACCTATAGGATAGTTTATATTGACCCATAGAATAGTTTATATTAACCTACAGAATACGTTCATATCAACCTATAAAATAGGCTCATGTTAACCTATTACAGGCCTGTTATTCCTACAGGTTTTATAATAATAAATAATAAGCTATAAATAAATTATAGTAAGTTTATATTAACCTGTTGAAGGCCAATTATTCCCACAGGTTTTATGCTAATAAATACATTATAATGAATTACAAATAAATTATGACAAACCTATGACAGGCTTAAGTAAACCTATTCTGGGCCTATTTTTCTACAGGTTTTGCCACAATAAATACATCATAAATTAATTATAATGAGCTATAAAAGGTTTACATTAACCTACTGAAGGCCAATTATTCACACAGGCTTTATTATAATACATTATTAATTATGACATAAATAATAGATGACAAAAATAATTCCCACAAGATACATAATGCAAATAAATAATTGAAAAAATAAATAAAATACATCCAAGTAATTATATAACACAATAAAGATATATGTAATGAAATATTATAATTACAAACTATATAATATTAGGTTTACATTAACCTATTATAGGCCAATTATTCCTCTAGGTTAATAAATTGTAAATTATTATTTATAAAGAATAGGTAATATAAATAAATATATTATGAAATCAAATCCATAATACAGATAAATAAATAATTAGAAAAGGAAATAAATATTAAAATAATTATCTACTATAATAAAGATATATATTAAAATATTATAATTACAAACTATATATTATAAACTATAAATAAACTATAATAAACTTCTAGCAGGTTTACATTAACTTATTCTAGGCCTATTTCCTACAAGTTTTGTTACAATAAATAGAGTCTAACAGGTTTACAGTAACTGACTTGAGCTCCCTGCTTAGCACAATGTTGATCCTGTCCTTCAGAGGTCGGTTCTTCTCAGGGATGGAGAACCAGGTCTTCTTGCCCATGATCAGAGCATTCTGCTTGCCTGAGGGACAGAGAGAACTGATTGACTCGTTGTTCCTTCCAAACTCCATCCCAGCAGCTAAAAAACACAGGACTAGGCCCCAACTCTCCAATTAGTCACATCAAGAGAACATGTTCGAGGTCTCCAAGCCTTGTCGCAGGTCACACCAAAACAACCTCACTCAGACCCACAAACTCATAGCGCTCATC